GACAACAGCCAAAGCAACAATAGCTGTTCAGGGTGAATGAGTTGCAATTAATCCTATTTTTAGGGTCAGGTCAGCAAAAATATTTATTTTTTGTGTGTGTCACAGAATTTTAGTCATTTGTTTATGCGTGTCATGAAATGAAAATGGTTGAAAATCACCAATTTAGTGTATAAATCATACAGGCAGAAAGGACACACATAAAGAAAGGTCACACAAACATTTTGTGTTTATGTGTGCAAAAAACATTTTGAATGTAATACATGCAAAAATGACATTGTTTAGGCATTTTAGACTTGCTTGTGAAAATGCAATAATGTTGCTGAAAATTCTAAACTGAACTCTTCTCAATTTAATGTGCATGAGAACCACTTGTAGACTTTCTTAAAATTCAGAATCTATTCTGTTCAACAGAAGAAGAAACTCGGTGGTGAATATTATTTTGATCAGAAGTTTCCAGTATATAAATAGGCTTGAAACAAGAACTCAGTTCTTGAAGGGGACAGGTAGAAATAATTGAAAACATGAAACAAAATATTTGAGTTGTTGATTTTTTGAGGTGGATGGATGACAATTCCTGCAAAACTTTTAATGTTTTTTTACCTTGTGGCACATTGTCTTCTTTGGTTTATTAAGCTGTTTTCTGAAAATGTGTCTAACAGATTTAACACTGCAAAGTTTAATGCAGTCAGATATCTAATATATAACGCCAAAAGGTTATTTAAGCAATTATGGCATCTAAGATTTTTAGTTTTTTAATTATGTTGAATGTCAATTAGGGATTGAATTCATTGCAAAAGTAGCTGTTTTGTATTTTGATTCAGTTTAAATTGTGATTAGTATTATGCTTTAGATGCTTTTTCAAAAACTGTTCCAAACATTTTCACATTCCTTGTGGCAAAATAAAATTAATTCATTCCTGTAGAAGAGGAAAATTATTTAACCAATTTTTTATTTACTGTACATATATTGAGTTATAGACATCAGAGTTTAGATATAAGACACAAAGCAAAGGCCTGAAAGAAGTTATGAATGAGTGAACCCAATCAATGGGGCTTTCAGAATACCCTTTCTTCAGCACTTATTTACATATTTACTGAATATTAATATTCGGATCTAGATATGTGTGTGTGTTTTTCTGAACAGACCTAGGAAAGAAATGATGTATGTTGAGCGCAGAAAAAAAAATAGTCTATTCACGAAAGAACAGGTTTTTGGTGCCCCTGTTATTGTTCTTTTGTGAAACATGATTTATTTTCCCCACTGATTTCTTTCCTGCTTCTTGTATCTCAGTGCTTAACTACAAACTTTAGATTAAAAGTGTATTCATGCATACTGTGGTAAAGTATGAGGGGTATCTTAAGATATAAATGTGAAATACATTATAGAACACAGTGTTTAAGGAAAAGGAAATTTAGACTGGAAGAATCTTGAATTTAAGAGTTTTTCTCTAAATTACCTAATCTAACAAGGGATGGGAGAAGGATTCTGACTTATATTGAAATTAAAAAGTATACCTTGCAGACTCACTGCTCTACATTAAAGTGATTTTTCTTTTTCTCTTAGAGAAATGATATACTAAGACTTTATAAAATTAATTATAACACTAATTTATATGTATTTGGAAAATAGGTTTTCTTCTTCAAATCACTTCTGGATTAAAAAAGAATATTTCAATAAATCCTAAAATATTGGTCCAAATATTGTATGATTGTCATATAGAGTGCTGCCCAGAGACCCAGAAAACTGGAGCCCATAGTTTCCAAGGCTTCTTCTGGTCCATCTTTAACTGTGCTTTGCTTCAGTCTTTAAAGCCAAGAGCATGTTCTCAATGATCTGTCTAACACCTGTCTGGACCATGTTCCAAGCCTAGAAACAGCAACTTGACCCATTGTCCAGGTCTGACTTAGCTGCTGCTGTGGGAGTATGTACCCAGAGGCCTGACGATGGCCATTAGGTAGTTACTTGCAGGAATAGGTGCACAGAACTTAGACATCCGAACTGATGAGTACATAGGCATGCATGGAGCAGAGTGGAGAGAGATGTAGAAAGAGAATGGAGGCTACTGAAATGTTAAGGATGGATGTTTTCATGATTAAATTTCCCCCTACTACATAAAGATACTAGTTTATTCTGAAAAAAATTTGAATGTAACAAATGAAAAAATGACATTGTTTAGGTGTTTTAGACTTTCTTACGAAAACATAATTAATGTTGTTGGACACTTTAAATTGAACTCTTCTCAATTTAAAGTGCATGTGAATACTTGTAGACCTTCTTGAAATTCAGAATCTATTCTGTTCAACAGATCCCTGGGCCCTGGGAACCTGCATTTCTAATTAGTTCATCTACAGATGATATTTTGAATAGCAAGTTTCTATAAGACAAGGCAAAGCAAGGCTGGTTTTGTCTGGTGTAGTTATTTCTAACTACATTGTAGGAACAATGATGTAGGGATGATAACAATTCAAATGTTTTTATTTATATTATTTTTTAATTAATGAAAATATGACTGCAAAAAATGTGCATTTATTTCACCACTTTACTGCCAAGACAACTAGTCATTGCAGCTTGTTTATAATTGGCTAAGGTATTTCACAATTTGTTCTCATTCATTAATGATATTTACACTTAAATTAAAAGAAACATTTTGTTCATTTTCATTTAGGTCTTACTTTTTTTCCAGATATAATACAATCCTACCCAAGAAATCCATTCACATGTGAGCTTTATTGAACTATTTATTTCAGATTTAACAATGGCTTTGCTGAAAATATTTTCTTCAGTGATAACGAAGGTTTATTACATTTTTGTAGAAACAACAGAAAGCATGACAAAGAAAAATAATTCTAGATTTTTTATTGAAAAGTCAGACCAAATGTACAACAGGCAGAAGCTAAGAAAAGAAAAACATAATGGGAGAAATTCAACTGTATCAAAATTACAAGATATTTTGATGTCAGTACGTGCTATAAACATTTTGTATATCCCCTGTCATCCCCAAATGAGAAACCTCTAAATTTAAATGGTTCATATTATTTATGTTCTCTTTTACTTTAACAAGTAGTTACTGAAATATGCATTAAATTCTTATTTAAATTAATCTATATAGAATATTTTACAAAAATTTTAAAAGCCAAATCAGTTGAAATATTTCAAGGTAAACCAGATTTACTATATATTTTCTATCATATTATACCATTGACCTCATGGAATAAATTTTTCAGGTCAATTTTCCTTAATCCCAAAGGAAATATACAACTAAATTGAATGTTCTTTATTTTTTCTAATAGGGAATTTTTTTACATTAATTTTAAATGGCAGTAATTTTAACTTTGGGAAAATAATTCCTAGCTATTTTAAATTTTATAGAAATTCTCCTAATATGTAGGATTAATAAAATAGAATCAAATGTAATGTTATATTTAATAATTAATGAAATTTGCACATATGGTAAGTTTATTGTCTTTTTGTCACAGACTATAGTTATTTCTTATTGGGAAGGAATTTACACATTCTTAATTCATAAATTGTTTGTAGGTTCAAAAGGCAATTATACATTTAGTGAGTGGTCCACTAAATAAATCATATATTTTAAAATTAAAGGGCTCCTAAAATTTTAACAGATTTAATCCCCTCATTATTATAGACTGAGAAAAATAGAAGGAGGATTAGCTTTTATTGCATACTTCTTAAAAGAAAAAAATTTTGATCTACCTTTAAGGTGATACAAGAAGAACTGATATTAAGATACTTAAGAAAAAAGTGGAAAGAGGAATAAGGAGTTGAATATATATTTAGGGGTACACATATTATATTATTTATTTATTAATCTAAAATTTAATAAAATCGTCATCCTATGCTCACACAACCTAGATTTAATAGTGCTTCTTAGTATGACATTTAGATAAGATATTTCAATTTGTTTAAATATATTCAAATAGTTGAATTAAACTTGAAGGGATTCATGCCTAAGTTTGAAATTATTTACCATATAATATATTAAATAACAACATATACATCACCATGTAACAGATCAAGAAGAGGATGATCTTTTACTTCAGTTTTTCCCTATCTCTTGAGGAAAGCTGTGCTGGAATACAGATTGCTGTCTTTCTAATTCTATGGTTCTACTACTCAGTTAAGCACTGGCATTCAAAATAAAGGTAAATATACACACACATACATACACACAAAGCTAAATTAATTCCCTATTCTCTGATTTTTTTATACTCTTATTAGTTTTTCCTACTAGTTTTTTTGATATTTCCTGACATTTCTCTTTTGGAAAAAAGGAATATAATGCTGTGCTCAATTTTATCAGTTTTTTCTTCAAGAACATAGTTTCAGTATGCTTACTACCCATCTAGTCTTTTACTGAACATGCGCTCATAATTCAAAATGACTCTCATCCTGTGATTTCTGGACTATTGTATTCTACCATTCTGCAACCAGAGCAAAGTCCTTGGTGAAGTTAAGCCTTTTATGATCCCCACAATTATATCCTTATTAATGTGCTCTTAAATTATGTTAGTTTTTAAAAGGTTACAACAGACTATTAGCTAGTTTTTAAAAACTTTTATTTATTTATTTTTAGAGAGAGGGGGAAAAGAAGGAGAAAGAGAGGGAGAGAAAAAACATCACTGTGTGGTTGCCTCTCACATCCCCCTCCCACCCAGCAATTGGGGACCTGGCCAGCAACCCAGCTATGTGCCCTGACTGGGAATGGAACTGGTGAACCTTTGGTTCACAGGCCAGCACTTAACCCACTGGGCCACACCATGTAGGGCAGCTATTATCTGGTTGTTGGATACTGTTAGTTACTTCACCTGAAGTTACATTTCTTCCATCCTTATGGTTATGTGTTTTTTATCCTTAAAAAGAATACATTTTAGCTCTTTTTCTCCCTGACTACTTAAAGATCGACCACCATCATGTTCAAAAACACAGTAACTATCTGGACCAGGAAGTCCCTGACCAACACACTACTTCAGTGAAAACAAATGGTCACTGACGTCCTCCACCCTGGGAAGGCAGCAGCACCTAAGACAGAAATTTGGAAAAGAGCGGCCAAAATGTGTAACACCACACCAGATGTCATCTTTGTGTTTGGATTCAGAAGCCAGTCTGGTTGTAGCTATATGACTGCCTTTGGCATGATTTATGAGTCCTTGGATCACGCAAAGAAAAATGACCCCAAACATAGACTTGTAAGACATGGCCTGTATGAGAAGACAACCTCAAGAAAACAGAAGAGGGACATAAGAACAGAATGAAGAAGGTCAGGGACTGCAAAGAGTGAGCTGGGGATTGGACAACAGAAGGAGTAAATATTCTTCAGAGACTTTACCTGTGGTGATTGTGCAGATTTTTCAAGAGAGGTTTGAAAAACTAAAAATTTATAAAAAATAATGTATTTTATTCTAAAATAAAATGTAATTAATATTAAGAAATATATAAATGGTCTGTAATCCTATCAATCAAGACAACAAATGTTATATTTTTTGATGAATATGTTTGTGTGTTTATCACATTTATACTATAAAACAGAAAAATATGCTGTATTTATGGTTTTTCTTAATGTTGTGAGATTGTGTATATATATCTCTCAAAAATGCACTTTTGTGGTTCAACAATGTTTTTATGCATTAACTCAAAATTTTCACTAATATTAGATACTTATGACAAATATTAATAAGTCAAAGGAACTAAATTTACTGTAAGTGTGCTATTATTATTGTGGATATAACATATTTACTAAAAATTAGAGATTATCACTGGTTTGTAAGAAAACTAAGAGCACTTTTGATAGTACATATTTATTTTATAACTAGGCACTTCAGTGTTCTTATAAATTGTCTGTTTTTTCTAGTAAACTCTACCTAGGGATAAAAAATTACAGATTATAAATAATATTTTCTAAACTCCATTCAATTGCTATAGCTTTTATTTCTACTCCATATTGTATTGCATTAATTCTACTTTAAGAGACAGAGTAATAAGAGAATGCTTCCTTGATATACTCCAAAATTTGAGAAAATAGTGGAAGTAAATCAATATATGTGTGATATTTAAATTTTAATCCTTGTATTGTAATATGTATTATAATACATATTATAGCCACATTATTTTATATTATACAATATATTATTTTTGTTATTTTTCTTCTAGTGGAATTGTAAGGACTCGTTAGTATTTGTTAGTGTCTTGTTAGATTATTAATTTTAATCCACACACCCTGTGCTTTGATTGCTTCTTGGGCAACTGACTTTGTTTCCAGGGACCAGGTACAATGCCACTCCCCTTTCTGAGTCCTATGATTCTTATTTTGGCACTCCCTTCCTTGCCCACCTATATATCATTTGCCTTTGAGTTTTTACTTCTGTGATTTTCATGGGCATTTTAGATTATATTCATATTCTTAACACCATAGAATTAGACAGACTCCATCTTGCTGGGCTTGTGTTGGCAGCCCTCAGAACAGGGCCGTGCGTGTATCAGAGTCAGGGCACAGAAGTTTAATGAAGGCACATATGCAGTGTTATGTGTGCCCATTACCACATCCAATATCATCTAATTATCACTTCCTGGCTCTTCTGCCTCACCTTAACCATCTTTATTTTTACCCATTTCAATTTACCTTTCTATAGTCGGGGCCGACATTGACATATTCATCTCATCCTTCTTTCCTCAGTGTGGTTGACTTTCTTCACCTCATGATGCTAAATACTTGTCAACTTTTCTTCTGTTCCCCATGCCTTCCTAAAGAGTAAACAGGAGAGAACACAAGGAAAATAGTCTCCTTTCCCTTGTTGAAGATCCATGTTAGTTTATTTTCCCACTCACAGACCCTGTGTTTGGTAAATTAAAATGGTATGGCTAGCTTTTTACCTTACTTGGCATCTCTCACCCTTAGTGGGAAAACTGGGTCATGGCAGATGTATGTAACAACAAACTCAGTGTGCAGTTTCTTTTGTGATTCTGCTAAACAGAGGTGGTGTTATCTATTATCCCCACTACAGGTTCTTGTATACGCTGGACTAATGGCATTTATGGTCATTTTCAGTCCTCACAATGCCCTGGTCTCCTTTTGGACCTCCACATTTTACTTGAGGAAACACCATCTTAAACAGTATGCAAGCACTAATGACCAACTTCATTCTAGACCTTTGTTTCCAGGACTTTTTAGTATGAAAATGGTTTCAAAACATGTGAGAGGTGAGGGCAGTGCAAGATTATTCTTCTGTCCACTGGAAAAGCGTGCCATGAGAAACAGCAAGTTTGGTCTGTGACAGGACATAACTGAGCAGTAGTCATTCTTAGATAGGAGCTGGACAGCAGCCATTCCCAGATAAGCAGTTATCTCAAGGTCATACACTAACCCCCGTTTTAGCAGCTGCACTCCTTCCCCTCCTCCTTCTGCCTGTGTAACAAGCATATAAGGAAGCCCCCAGCCTAAGCTGGGTGCCCAGAATTTGGAATTTTATCTCCTCTGGGTCTGCATGCCTGAATAAACTCCACTTCATAAACTCCCAGGCCATCTGAGTCGTCTTTTCCATAACCGGTTCAGTATCAGCACTGCGACTTCAGGAGAGAACATATGTAGAGGGAAAGAAACAAATTGTATATCTTTTAGAGGCTGACAAAACCATTATGTTTCATAAAATGAAATACGTTTATATTTTTTCAGTCCTACTGACTTCACGGTTCAAGTGAATACTCCAAAATTTCTGCTTAAAATTTGTATAAGGTATAGTTTCTGCTGTTTTGTAAATTGTTATTTAAAACAAATGTAAAATCTGTTAGCTATTTAAGTAGAAAGTCTAAAAGGCAGTGTTAAAAGTGTTATTTAATTCCGAAGTCTGTACTTGTGCTTACTTTCACTTTCTTGTTTTCCATAAAACTTTTATTTTTCTGACTATTCAATTTAAAAATAATTGAGTATGGAGTAATGTGTAAATTGTAAATGTAGACCATTAAAATTATTAAATTTTTCATTCTTCAGGGATAGTCATTGTCAATTTGATATCTCTCTTAACAATTTTTATTTTCTATGCATACACAGCAGCATTTCCCAAAATAAATCACAGTGTTAGATATTCCATCCAAGAAATTATGCAAAAGTTTTAAATAGTTTTAGCACATAATTTGGATAAAATAAAATTATTCTGGGGACTGATTTTTGGAGCTTGTAATATAATAATGTTCCTGGTAAATCTTAAGTAAAGATAGATAAAAATATGCCCAATTTTTCAAACAGTTTGATTATATAAATCAGGTCTTTTTGTGGAACTAATAGCCATTACTATACTTTGAAAAGCACAGCCTAGACCATACTACATGTTATTCTGCAATCTGCTTTTCAGACAAGATATCATTGATATCATTTTCATAAAATGCATCATTTTCTCAACATTTAATATGGTTACATATTATTCAGTGAACGGACACTTCATAACTTATTTATCAAATATTCTACTAACATTTTGATTGTTTTTATTTATTTTTTTGCTACTAGAAACCCTATTCCTATCTTTGTCGATACATTTATGGCCAGCTGCTTATCATCTTCTCAGACAAAGGACTAGAAGTGGGGTTGATACATAGACTCAATGTGCCTCCAGGAAGTGGGTTCCAGTTTCACCCCCTTGGCAATAGCACAGGAACTGTAAGGATTTCAACACTTGACACTAATATTTCAAACATTTTCACCTTTTACTAATCTAATAGATTAAAGAAAGGAAGAATAGTTCTATTTTAGTTTGGATTTTGTATTTCTTCAACTTAAAATGACTCAAGTGCATTTTTATACTCTTATCCTTCATTTACATTTTTTACTTTTGTGATTATGAGTAAGTGCCATTTGTTCATTTTTCCCATTTCAGTGTTAATATTTTTTTTTTTTTTGGTAAATGGAGAGGGAATACTTTCTTTTATTTTTTTTAAAGATTTTATTTATTTATTTTTAGAGAGGGAAGGGAGGGAGAGATAGTGAGAGAGAGAGACAGAGAGAGAGAGAGAGAGAGAGAGAGAGAGAGAAAAACATCAATGTGCAGTTGCTGGGGGTTATGGCCTGCAACCCAGGCATGTACCCTGGCTGGGAATTGAACCTGGGACACTTTGGTTCCCAGCCCATGCTCAATCCACTGAGCTACGCCAGCCAGGGCACTATTTTTAAATTAACAATAATGTTTTGTATTTTAAAGATAACCTATATATTTTCATAAACTCTGCAAATATTTTCCCATGTATCACTTATACAGTTCTTTTTAAAATATATGATTTTACATATGCCTGCATAATTATTATTTTGCAGTGTCATATTTATTTTAAAGTGTCATATTTAAAGATTGTCATATTTTCCTTAGTGTACTGATTTTAAAAATATTTAAAGTCATCCTTTATATTTGTGTCTTCTATTTATAGATTATGTGATCAATTTTCTTATATTTTCATTATTTTTTGTCATTAAAATATACACTTAAATGTTTAAACTCAAACTTGTTTTGATATACAGTATTGTGTGTTTTTTATTTGGATCTATACTGTGTTGCATTAGACTTATCTTGTTCCATTTAATAATATATTATAATCTGATTTTGTTATAAATATTGATTCTGTTGTTTATATTAATAATCATTGCTCTTGGCTCTGTTTTGTTATGTTTTCTCTTCAAATTTCATTAAAACTATACATTATCAGAATATTTCTTTATGCAAGAAAGCTCAAAGTACTTCATGGTTAGACATCTCCAGGGTGTAATGTCAGGTAATGATCATAAGAAATTAAAATTTGGTATAAACGTATCATGTTGAACCTATAGTTTGCCAATATAACTTTTTTAATTTTTCTGTATCCATTATGTTTTTATTGATTTAAAAAAAAACAATAATCTTATTTGTCGTTTTTCCAAAAATATCTTTTCTTGTCCAAATAGTTGCCTTAATGAGTTTGTTATAAATCTTAATTATCTTCAGCCTTTAGATAATCAAATTCAGAGAAGGTAAGTATAGATTTGAGGGCTGGGGAACTGGTCAAACCATTTTTATCCTGGCTTGCTCCTCGGTTGTCAGCTGCGACATGCTGGAGTGACAGGACAGTCACTAAAGTGACTCCTCTTCCTTCCTTTCCCCAACCCTCGAGTGTGCTTTACCATGTATACACATCTGTAATGTTTTTTCTAGGCAATTCCACTCATGTTACCAAGGGACTAACAGGGGTGTCCAACCTGTGGCCTGTGGACTGCATGAGGCTCAGGATGGCTATGAATGAGGGC